CTGGAGAGACTCACACAGATAAAAGCTGCAATTTGAATTCCATTTCAATTTATTTATACAGTTAGCATAGAATATTGGTCAAAAAATTTTCTATCCAAGGGAAACCAGTTGATTACATGCACTTATCGACTCTGCACTCCCTCACACTGAGCATGCATCTAACTCCCTTTTAACAGGAGGAAACTTTAAACAGAACCAGGCTCAGTTTTTTCAGTAGTTTTTCATCATGTTTCTATCTTTGTTTGCTTTTACTCTGCTACTAATTTTCTTTATTTTAACAGCTATCTAAATGTTTTTTATTGTTTTACGTTTTGTTTGGATTATTTTGTATCTTCATTGCTTCACTGTCACACCTATTACCATTTTTTCTAATTTTGCTTGTAAAGCACATTGTGCAGCATACTGTAAATCAATGTAAATCTGCTATATAGATTAATTTGACCTTAACTCTGACCTTGCTCTGCATAGGTCAGAGTCAATTAAAAGAACAAATAAAAAGAGAGTTATTGTATTTATGTTTAAACATAAAACACACACCTGGGGTCGGAGGGGGTGGAGGTGACTTTGGAGTGACTCCTACATATACATAAACAAAGCACCAGAAATCATTAACAAGATGGCATGATTAAGAACAAGCAATATATTTGTAACATTAAAAATAACATTGACGGTTATCTAATAGCAGCTTTACAAAACTGTAGCATATAACCACTTTTTACCTGTAGGGATCTGACAAATCCAGCCTTTATATCCCTCGCATTGATTATCATTCCAAGATCCACTTTGGTCCCAACGACGTTGATAAAATTCAACACAAGATTCAACTTTGTTTTTGTTGTTTGGCTCTCCACTTTGCCAGTGTTGAAAGTTTACCTGTTAACAGATGTTACAGCATAGATCTTAAACTGTTTGGAAAAGGATAAAAAGAAAAGACAACCATTTACTCACTGGAGAACCGTCACTCCAAACATAGCCAGTGTCCTGGTCAGGGGCACTGAGTCCAATCCAGAGGTTGTTATATCTGCAAGGCAAATAAGTGTAGCACATCATTATTTATATAGTAGTTCTTTTCCACAATTTTATATTAGCATTTTCAGATATTACTTTAATAATAACAAAAGGATACTGCTCATCTTCTAAAAAAACAGTCAAGAATAAACTAATAAGAACATACTGTGGTGAATGCCAATGAAAAACTACTTTGTTGTGACACAACACTGCTTGAACACATAATTATGGTCTGACCACCGAATGACTGTCATGCTCCACCCTTTTTGTGACTGGGATTATGTCTCTTTAAGGAGGTTATAGCTAGCAATAGTAACAATGCAGGCCACGTGACTGCTGAGCTGTGCACCCTGTTGAAGAGGAGAATGGCATAGCTGCGCAAACTAAACCCAGACGTCATGCACAAAAGGCGAATAAGCTGGAGGAAAAACTGCGATGCACCGACATACAGTTTAAAAACCAAAGCGCCGAACAATTCAATCTCTTTTTCCACCGGGCGTATGCTCGTCAGGAGAGACAAATTCCACATGGGTTTTTTCCTGCAAGCTAGCTGAGCATAGCTTCCCCCTTTTATCTTTTCATTAAAAGGCGATGACTGCGGTGTACCACTGTGCCGACCCGCTGAGATTGGTTGGATGGAGCCTCCGACAGCGCTGCTGCTTGCAGGAACCTAGAATTGTAATGCGGTCGAATGACAGGTGGGCGCTCTGGTCAATAACCGTTTAAGTTACCTACACCAATTGAGTCAGACTGCTCTAAAATTTCCCCCGAGAACTGACCCGGTTTGGGAGGTTGGGATTCAAACCCGGGTTGACTGTGTCGAGGACTAAGGCTCCCTATATGTGTCGTGTGCACTAACCACTGCATCACCTGCATGCATATGTTGTGAGTTGTTAAACTTATTGTCTGGAGTTTTATAGTCTAACCTCCCCCTTTTGTAATAGGATAGGAGCAGCCATTTTATTCCACAAGCTAATATACGCGCACCTATGTAGTCAAACCCTCCCCTCCGGGTCAACTGATAAGGTTCACCATTCTGTGATTCACACTCCCTGGTATTTTTCCAGCTTGTTGCTCCACCTCCTCGACCGCATGGTAAGGGTCAGCCATCTTGCTAAGTACTCCAGAACCTAGGAAAGCCCCCGCCCTTTTTTGCTAGGTTAGATGAATGTAGCGTTGTCGCCATGCTACAATGCAAATTGTTAATACAATTGTAAAAATTAACTATTTTTAAGCTGAATGTGATTGTGTTGTTTTAACTGCACCTATTATTGCCATTATATCTGCTGCTATTTTGAACAAACGCCATTGAATGTATTGACATTTGGCCTACCTTGGACAATCCCCTAAAGCCATTTAAACAGACTCGTAGAACCCCTTTTCCCCTCTTTCCAAACTATTCATTAGCCTACATAATGTTTATTTAGTGTTTGCATAGATTTTAAATTTCTTATAATCCCAGATTGTAGAAATAAATTCATCATTATTTTAACCTGTAGTCATTTGTGCTTTTTGTACAGCGAGTGGTTTATCACTCAGGCCAGTTCCACCCTTCTTTTGAAGGTGACATTTGAATAAACAGAGACAACATTTCTTTGGTTTGTAATTAAAAGCTCTCCTGATAGCCTAGCCTAAGTCACTAAACTGGTGAGAATAACTACATTTTAACAACTGGTCCACAAGCTATCCGGAGTGTGAGAAGAGAAAAATTCTGGTGAGAAAAAAGGTTATAGTTATAATTATTCAACTAAGAACATTAAATTGGTTTTATCCTCAATTTTGAAGGATTTAAAAAATAAACTAAAACTTCCGCTCTAGTTAATCATATATTCATAATCTACAGGTAAAATATCACAACAACTTCATGCAACAGTACAGTATGTTCACAAACCTGCTGTACCGCTGTCTCTCCAGTTGTTGCTCAGCAGCACTGTGGAAGCTTATTAGATCTCCTCCAATTGCTCTGCAGTATTTCTGAGCCTCAAACCAGGTCTTACCCTCTGCCGTCTCAAATATCTTAAACACATGAAGTTCAGCTATTGTTATATGTCAGTTTAGATGCAACCTGATTTTTAACAATGAGCAAAAGTCAAGTGGTTGGTTTATCTACATCAGCTTGTAGATAAACCAGCTGTTAATCAGTTAGCTGTCATTATTAAATGTCTGTCTGTCTGTCTGTCTGTCTGTCTGTCTGTCTGTCTGTCTGTCTATCTAATGAAAAATATATATGTATAGGGATTATCTAGTTAATCCATCCCATCTATCCATTTTCTGTCACGCTTATCCCAAACGGGGTCGCAAGGGGTGCTGGCGCCGATCTCCAGCTGTCTATGGGTACCAGTCCATCGCAGGGCAAGGTAGCCAGTCCATCGCAGCTCAACACACAAACAAACAGGACAAACAACCTAAGGGGAATTGAGTGAAGCCAATTAACATAACAGTCATGTTTTAGACTGTGGGAGGGAGCTGGGGTACCCAGAGAGAACCCACACATGCTCAGGGGGAATTCCATGCAGAAAGACGCCATACCA